CCACAATAGCATCCAGGTTCCTCACATTAGAGACAGCCTGTAAACTCAAGCCCAAGGATGGTTCTTTCCATGTGCGAGGTGAATGGGTCCGACGCTGCTGTAGCGTGCCATATTCATCGCTCAAAGCTGCGTAGGAACGAGACTGAAGGGTAGTGATAGTCAGATGCCGTCTCCCAGTTCAGCGCGCGCTATACCTGGTAGCACTGAGAAGGCACCGTTGTGCCAGTCCCGCTCACGCGCACTTCTGGTAGGTGAAAGTCGCACGCTATTGCAGCACACATGCCATTCGCATCACATACAGCAAATATTAGGATCCACAGAGGTGAGTGTACACTTTGTCTTCATGTAAACTTGCAGTGGTTGTTTTGGGTTCTCTTGTAAACTTATTGTTGGTACAACTCAGAAGAAGCTCATTAGTTGCGAATCCTGAGTGCCCTCATACTTGAATTCTAATCCTACTTCACTTAATATAGGCACCTTTCTGCATCTTGAGTGACATGTAGACCTTTGTTTGCAGAATTGGAGGTGCGCTTGTGTGTAATGCAGTGTTTCTGCGAAGCAGACCGTGCTTTCCTGTCCCATCTAGCACAGCCAGAGATGCTTCAGCTCCAGTTCATGAGTTTGCATGACGAGAAACTAGAGATGCAAGAGGTATAATAATCTACAATACTCCAGGAATATTTAAATTCTGTTTCCACGCTCACAAATACTTACGAGCAACGCATTTACCCTCCACCATGACCTTTCATGTGTTCTCTCAGATAAAACCAGGTTCCACATTTATAGGCTGCTGTCTGCCTTCTTGGTCGTTTATCTGAGCTCAATCCCGCTCTGGTGTTGCCTAGAATGAGACGAGTACTGCTTGAGACCTTGAGTCAACTGACAAATAGCGGTCAAGCCAAGTAAGTTGTTTTTAAAGCTATTTTCTCACGATTGCGGCCTTACGATGGATCTTTATTCATCATGCACGTCTTCAGGCTTGAACAGCATAGTGCCCGTCTTCTTACTCAGCTCACTCGTCAGAGCCCGAAATTTATGAGACCTTACCTAGGTCCTCTTCTCCAGGCTTTACTTCCGAAACTACGAAACGAAATGAAGGCAAGTGCTTGTTGAGGTTCCTAAGCTGTTTCTCCATGAAGAATGCCAACTTCAGCACGTGGACGTCACCGTTCATGTACTTCATGCCATTTCCGAGCTGTGTGTAGTTGGTGGAGCCGAGATTGTACGAAACATCGATCCAATGTTTCAAAAGCTCACTCAGCTTATCAATGATTCAAGTAGTTTACAGCGAAGAGAGGTGAGCATTTTCTTAACATGCTTCCCTGACTGGACCCGTGCGCATAGAAATGGCTGCGTACTATGGAGCTGCCCGGAAATTGTGTTCGAAAAAATGCGAAAACAGGTTGAAAATATCATAGTAATCTCAGCATGAGGAAGTCGGTTGGGCGGAGTGGTCATATGGGTTGGGCTAGCTTCAGAGTTTGTGCTCCAAGTATTTTTATAAATATTGACTCGATTAAAATAGTGATCTTCCTTCTGACGGGAAAGATGGGCCTGGAGACAGCTCTGTGGGTGCTTTTTGCTGGTTCCCATCAATCACAGCCGGGGACCTCCGTTGGAGAACTCGAAACCCCTATAAAGCTAGGCAATAGCACGAGCTTTGCTCACACTTGTCAAGGGTCTGAAGGTCTCACCAAGGTTAGGCTTGTGATTCAGCAGGAAGTAGCGAAAGAAATTAACGAATATGCAAAATGTCCTTCTCCTTCCTCCCTCCCTAAGCCGAAGAGTACCAAAAGATGTTGGCTGCGTTTCGATTACATCTGTGATTTGCATCCTGACCAGTTGCTTGTTAAGGCTGCTTTTGCGTACGATTGGCAGGATTGCTCGCTCCACGGCTTACGTTGTCGATCCATACAAGGACTACCCGAATCTTCTTGATGACCTTCTCAGGTCTGACTTCATATGGAGCTGTTGAATTCAAGGGTGTACTTGGAAATTCGCTCTATTAGGCTTCTGAAGACCGAAATGTCATCGAGGATGCGTCGTCAGGCCATCAAAACACTAGGGATTCTTGGAGCGCTGGATCCGTACACGCATAAGGTATCCATAATGAGAAAGAAGGTTTTATACCTGATATATAATTTCTTCACAGATCCTAGAAGTGGAATCCTGTCCTTGGATCATTGCTTTTATTTTTATCAGATTTTTGCAGGTTTTCACGGGTGCAGTCCAATCGGCTACATCAATCAGTACTGCGTTGTCGCTTCCAATGGCAAGAGACGCTGCTGATCCTAGACAAGGTGATGAATCATAATTTCTTTTAAATTGACAAGTAACGTAGTAAGCTTGCTTGCAAAACGTTTTACTTTTGGAACAAATTTTTCGATTGAAAAAAACGGCCATTACTTATTAGCCAGCCCACTGCTAGTGGGCTGGCTAATAACTGCTAGTGGGCTGGCTAATAAGTAATGGCCGTTTTTTCAATTGAAAAATTTGTTTCAAAAGTGAAAAGTTTTGCAAGCAAGCTTAACATCGTTTAATAGCAAACTTCTCGTAGTATTAGAATATCAAATTCAAATTCAATTAATTCAACTATTAGCATGAAATTTCTAAATAGAGGCAGTTGTCGAAGATGCTAATTTTTGCCGACTTCACTCCAACTTACAACGTTGACCTGAAAAAATTCACAAAAACTATATCCTCAACCAAAGCTTTTTTGATATTCTTATACTACGAGAAGTTCCCTATCAGATATATAACTTGCTTGCAAAACGTTCCACTTTTTGAACAAATTTTTTCAATTGAAAAAAACGGCCATTTAATACATTCCCAGTACACGGTTTTCCTCGTTGGCTATCGTTACTAGACTAGATGCAAAATTGAATGGCTGTAGAGTGTGTGGCGTCTTCGAAAAAGTCTATCACGTCAACCATTCTATCCTCTGCCACATGCCTCAACTTCCAGAAAGTGTATGACTCCGTTCCAGATATTATTCAGTGGTATAACTATGAAAAGTGCACATTGGAGGAGTTCTATCCAGCAATAACAATCGCAAATCTTATGGTTATGGTAAGACTTCTTCCACTTCCAAAAGTAGTGCACTTATGTACTAAAGACGTATTCAATGTTTCTGTACCAGGTTCAAGACGAGGCATTCACGCAGTACTACAAGGAGATAGCACAGGCTCTGCTCACCATTTTCCGAAGCCTCGGCGATTCATTCCCGCAATATGTTCAGCAGGTGTGTTACTACTCTTGGCTTCCATTGATGTTTTCGGGCTGTATATCGGTAAACCTTCGAAAACGGTAGGCCAATGCTGAGTGTCAGTAAGCCCATGTGTTGATTGCGAAAGCAGAAAGGAATTCCTTTTCAAACAGTATAGTAGTTCTGAATAGATGTTATGATGAGAAAATGCTGTAGGAGCAATTCTGCTCGAATTCTGATGAGGACTGCACCTTGAGAACCCAAGTTGTTTGAAGTCCGGAAGCTGTGCAAGGAGAAAAATATCGGGGGCCTTCTTGGAATTTTACGCAAAAATCATGCCTCTATTTTCACCTTATTCTTTGCACTTCTGCTCGCCCTTTTCAGAGCCGCAAGGTCTCAGTTACAGTGTTGTACAGATACAAGGATACGCGCGCGCTCCTACATGATGACTCATCCTCGGTGCAGCCCTATGGGTAGGTATGCCGCCGTTGCAACTCGAATCTCCTGACCCTACTCCTCTGAGGACCTTACATTCCACCTGAAGAGAAGAGAATGAAGTGAGGGAGAAAAAAAGGAATTTGTCTGAAAGCTCTCAAGCCCTCCCACCGTTTGTTGTCGGGGAAATTCTCAGACTTTAATTCAAATTTATCTTGTATTTTCCAGGAAGGGGTTGTTCTCATCTTCTCTCGTCGCGTTTTTACAGTTAGCTGAACTCTTTCCTTTATAGGTTGTACCACGCCTGATTGAAGTGACTCGTGCTTGTCGTGGCCGACCATCGCATCGAGAGTTCTTCTTGCGACAACTTGCTAGTCTTGTTGCTATCATCAAAGTTCATGCAAAACCCTATATGAAGCAGATCTTCAGTTTAATTGCTGTGAGTTCTCATTTTATGGGCTCAACAGCACTCAATACTTCTTCTCAAAAACTGCCTGCGGCTTGCAGGACGCATGGAGTGAAGATCATAGTGTCAAGGTGACAGTAGTG